TGCTCCATTTGGAAATGGAGCACGGGGCAGCTCATGTTTCATAGAGATTGCCCATACACTAAGGGAATGTACATTCGCACAGAGATTTGTTTGGGACTTAGTGTGTGAGTGCAGTCATTTCATTGTAATTAAAGTTTGGCCCTGAAGCTGGAACCTCAGAGGAACTCATAACAATACCCCATCTCGCGAAAGCAATTCCACATTACAAATGTCTCCCATATTATTAAACTGCTTCGCAGACTCACAATATATTGTTAGCTGTTATTGTTAGTCGACTCATAGCAGTGTTTATGTTGGAAAGAAACTTGGTAGTGTTGTAACGAATAAAGTAAACTTCAGGGTAATGCTGAAGCTCACCTCAAAGTGATAGCTAAATAAATAAATACATACATACATACATACATACATACATACATAAAGTTACACAGTTTTCCCATTTGCCCAAAATGTGGTCAATCACCCAAGACAGGTTTGGTGTCTGAAGTTAGCTTTTTTAGTTTTGTACTGGAGTTGCAATCTAATGTAGCTAACAAGTGATGGTAGATCCTGTCTATCAGTTATCATTGTGCACACTGCATACATAATTCATCACTCTCTTGCTTTAAACCATGTTGAGTTGTGAAGTAATGAATTTCTAACACTGTATGATGTTATCTAAAAATTTATAAAAATACAGACAAAATTCAGGCTTCACAGATGGAGGACTTGAGTCAGCAGTTCAGACTCAAGTTACACACAAGTTGCATGTTGACTGAATCGTGACTCAAGAGTTATGACTTGTGAAAATTCAGCCAGAAAAAAAACACACAGACCTAATTAAAATAAGACCACAATCTAAGTACTGTAAATGACTTAAACATTTCAAATGAATCTTTCATGTCAGTTTTGCTACAGTCACACACAGCCATTAATGCAATACTTTTGCCCTGCAGCTCTCAGCCTTTCGTTATAAGAAACCCTTCGGTCACGTCTTTAAAACTTTAGCTGAATTTGCTGTTATCCTAGCTAGGCTCCTTTTTATACTATCTACAAATTGATTGAATCCAGATTGTTTTGCCTCTGTCCTTTACACACTGTGTTCACTTTGTGTAGTGCTTTATTTTTATCCTTTAGACTAAAGATTTTTCCATAATGAAGGGCTCGTCATGTGGGTTAACTTTAGTACAATGCATTGCCTGCAGCTAAAAACGAGTAAAGAAAAGAGTAAGCTGAAATTCTTTTCAAAAGTCTCGAGACCACCAGTGTAACAAAAAATAGTTGATGCTATCAAAGTTGACGTTACACTTAAACTTGCATACGCAGAAGTTTGCACATGCGCAAAGTGCATCTCAAAAAGTTAGCAATGTGGCTAAACATGTTAGTTTAGGCTGAAGAGAAAGACATTATCCAGTGAAAACAATTTAGCTTGCTGACATAGAACCAAAAAGACCACTTGATAGACTTTGTGATAATGTTTACATTCCGAATGGTGACCATTGAGATGACCATTTTTATTGGGGAATCGCTGTAACATTATTTCTTCAGTCATCTATCCAACAAGGTTGTACAACAAATTCAGTAGTAGCTTAAAGAAAGCAGAGAGAGGAGAACATTTGCAATTTAAAATAATTATTCATTCATTTATTTAGTTTATTAGTTAGTCATATTAATTATATATTGTAGTATACCTGTTTATTTATTTAATTAATTAATTTATTGTTTTTTCTTTTACTAAATTTAACTGACTGCCTTAGTCGTTCAGAAGCAATGGGAAATATTTTAGTCACTATGGGTTAAATCAGTACTTGAGCTAATGCCAAAGCTAACAGTTTAATGTTAAACGATAGGCAGTCATCATCTTCTATTCCTGGTTGTTTATTTTCTGCTCAGTGAATGATGTGGAAACATGTTGGCCTGTCAAGGTAACGCTGAGAACAGAGATATCTTTTCTTATTTTAGCTGTCATGGCTAGCTGCACAAAGTTACCTCGGACTTTGCAGTCGTGTCTGTGGCACTTTAAAGCACTAGTGTTTCGTAGTAACATTACACACACACACACACACACACACACACACACACACACATCTTCTAAGCTACTTATTCTTCTTGGTCGCAGGGGAACCGGAGCCTATCCCAGCAATCATTGGGCGAAAGGCAGGAAACACCCTGGACAGGTGCCAGTCCATCACAGGGCTGTAGTAACATTAACAGAGTAAAATAATATACTGTACAGTAGTAAAATGTAAAATGTGATAGTTGACTCAGACTCGCGTATGTCTGTTTGTGAACATCTCGGTCATATGGTGTCAGAAACAACAAAAGCAAGTCCATTTGTGATTGCATAACAAGTCTACACAGTTTGAGGCGAGTGTTTGATGATGTTGGCTTGCACTTTTTTTGCACAGGCTAATTGGCAGGCTGTTAGCATCCATTACTTAGTACATTAGCCTTGTAGCTCCAGCTCAGAAATAAAGACGCATCAAATGTGCCTCAACTGATTGACTACATTTGAGGTGAGATGAAAATTGTGTAAATCTTTTTTTTTCATCAATCTATCGCTTTAACAGCTCCATGATAAAATAGCTGAAGTTCCCAAGTATTGTCTCTTTTTTGGTATTCCAATCATGTACAAATGGTCTAAAGCTATTGTCTAATATTCATAAATGTAATTTGCAATTGATATTCATTTACTTTTTTATCTGAGTAATCTGACTGAACTGATTTCATTATGATATTATGAAGATGATCGAAGTGCTAAAACTCAGTCAAGCTGCTAAGATAGCTAAGATATGGTTCACTTAATGTGTGTAAATGATTTGCGCAGGTACACATGGCAGCAGACAGCAGAGGGCATTATCTGTATTCTTCTGAGTCTTTGTCCCAGGCCATAAGTCACTGAAGACGGGGCAACCAACTGAGTCTGTTAACGATAATGACAGTAACGACTCTGTTAATTATCATTATAATTGCCTCAGTTCTGTGCTGGAAGGAGGGTTTTTCCTGAGTTGAACGTTTTGCTCACCTTCCAGGGAGGCACAGCTATTTCACTCTTGAAACTCTCATTACTTTCACATATCCACTGCTCTCCTATAATACGACAGAAATTTTGTTTACCTGCTGCTGGCCAGTTTCTTGATTGAGTAGCGGCTGCAATGTAAACCACTTTTGGTAAGCATTATCTCAGTAGGCATATGATGTGTACCTTAGGTCAGTGGTTCCTAATACTCAGTCTGGAGTGACTCTGTGCTGCACGTTTTGGTGTTTTCTTTGCTCTGAACTTATACCATGAACTATCCCATGAACAATCACAAGAACAAAATATATTTTTGATAGGTGTGGCTGGGAATCAGTCCCTCCACACACACACACACACACACACACACACACATACACCACAACACAATCAATTAATACACAATCGTAACTTCCGCAGAAAAAAGTCCCTATAAAAGTCGATTGTTGTTATATGAGGTTTCATTCTTTTGCTTCATAGAACTAAAGATGGTGCGGCTATCAAGTGCATTTAATCTGCTCCTGGTATCCTATGATATGCTGTCACTGCTTGCAGCGAGATACCTGATAAAATCAAATTGGTAGAATGAATCCTGAGTTCAAGTTTATTTACACAATAAAAGACCCGGAATCTCCACTTTCATGCAATAAAATGGATTGGATAATAAATTAATTTCAAGAATAGCCTATACATTTGGGATCTGGATTTCATACAATGATAGGTAAATGGAAGTTATCTGGCCATTTAAAAAATGCTCTTTCCAGCTATTCAACTAAGGTGATTTTTTGGTGGGACATTTTTTGGTTCAGATTGCCACCCAAAACAATGGGCCTCATTTACTTACTGTTCTCAAGGAGAAATGTCTTCTTAAAAAACCTACTTATACAGGTTTTACGAAGATTCTGACATTCAGCAGTGTTTTCTTATTTGAGATTTTTTCTTAGGTATGAACAGAATCTACACACACTGGAAGAGCACAAGGGTGCAAACATTTCTGCGGCTCAAGAACATGCCATGAATCTGACTTAGATTATTTCTTAGGACCTTTCTCAAGATCGCATTTAAGAAAAAACTTAGGAAGATACTGGTGAATAAGGCCCAATGATTTCACATATTGATGGAGTGATTTTGTTGTCACATACTGGTGGAGTGATAAATGTCATTTATCACAATAATGATAAAATATCATCATATTGCCCACCCCTAATTTGACTGCACTTAAAGCAATGCCATTGCATTTTGTTGGGTTAAAATTATGACCACAACCAAAACAATAATGTCTCATTTTGGTAGTGTTCAGATTATGATGACACCTAAAATGATGTCACTTTTTAGTGGAGTTCAAATTATGACCACACACAAAACAATGGGCCTCATTCACCACTATCTTCCTGAGTTTTTCCTTAAATATGTTCTTGTGAAAGGTCCTAAGAAAAAGTCTATGTCAGATTCATGATGTGTTTGTAAACCGCAGAATTGTTCACACCTTTGTGCTCTTGAGTGTGTGTAGATTCTGTTCTTACCTAAGAACAAACCCCAAATAAGAAAACACTGGTCAATGTCAGAATCTTTGTGAAAACTATGTAAGTGAGTTTTAAGAAGAAATTTCAAGAATGGTTAATGAGGCCCAATGATGTCAGGTTATGGTAAAATTCGAAATTTGATCATGCCCAAAATGATGTCACATTTTGGTAGAGTTCAAATTATGACCACACCCAAAGTGCTGAATGACCCTTGTGGTCAATATTTAGAATACTAGAAATTGATTTACTTCTGTCACTCAAAGAACAAGAGCAATTTTCCAACTTAACCTAATATTTTGCTGAAGCCACCCAAACTAACAAGCCTTCATTGAGCTGATATGGCTACGTTAGAGCAGGGAAAACGCTAAAATCTGCAGGGCAAGGGGTACTTCAGGACCACTGGCCTAGGTCACCGGCTGCTGTCTAGCCAGCTCTAGAAACTGGCATTAACTGCAAACCCAGTGGCATCAAAGACCAACTCTGACCTTGTGTGGCAGGACGACTGCAGATCCCCCGCTGATGCCCACAATGGGCACAGCCGTTTGAGTGGAGATGAAGTCCAGGATCTGCGCTACAGCCTCTGAGCCGATGTTGTCCTCGAACACCACGCCGTGCACCCTGTTGGCTGCCAGGGTGTCACAGATGCGCGTCAGCAGTGCCCGGGGGTTGGTGTTGTTCACCAGAACGGTGATGGGGTTGACCTCCATCGGCAGGTCCAGAAAGTTCTCCCGGCTCAGACGGCCCTTTATCTCCAGCTGGTAGGCGGAGCCACTGAACACCACAGCCACGTTGACGGTGGGCTCGACCATGGTGAACGGTCGGCCCTGACAGCAGGGCAAGGCACAGAGCAACAGCAGCAGCAACAGCGGCGGCCACAGAGTGTCGCTCAGGCGGCCCAGACGAACGCCCATCTCAGTCGCCTACTGCCTATACAGGACACAGAAGAAGAGGGCAGGTAAAAAAGGGTAGAGGGAGGAGGAAACACAACAGCTTAAGGCTACATTCACATTACAAGATTGAAGTCACCCATATCTGTATAGATTTTTTGCGTAAATTGGCATGTGTGGCAATAATCCGATCTTTTCAAATAAGATGTGAGCCACAATTGCTGCATTCACATTACACATCACATAATCAGACATATGTGACAGATCTGTTTGGTCTAACGTGTAAACACTCTAATCTGATCTTTTCAAATCAGATTGCACTGCTTTTAGATTATATTCATTTATTATTTTCACATTACAGGTTTGATGTGGCACAAATTTGATTTTTCAACAATTTTTCAGATAAAATTTCAGCAATATTTATATGTGGTTCAAGTTTGGATACAGTCAGATGTCAGAAACCACACACACACACACACACACACACCCACCCACACACATCATCTAAACCGCTTATCCTTCTGGGTCGTGGTAGAGTTGTCAGAAACCACCCTTCATTTATTTAATTTCTAGTCAAAATAACCAATAAGCACAAGTTCTTCATGTTTCTGACAAGATTCGCTATAAAAATAATCCACTTGCATGAGGAAGGAGAAAGTCAAAGGAAAATGAGTAACAAAAACAGGAGTTAAACCGTGGAAGACCAAGCAGACCAACAAGACTGTCACCTTCAGATAAACAGTACTTAAAGCTTTCATATTTGAAAGATGGGAGAAAACCAAGCTCCACTCTTGTTAGAGTTCTAAAAAAAACACAGGTATTTCTGTCCATCCTTCCACTGTGAGAAGATAATTTAACACTATGAGTTTGAAAGAATGTTGATGTAGTCAAGAAGCTGTTACTGAGAACATTGAAGAAATTACAAAAAAAGAAGAAATTTTGCAAATGAAACAAAGAAGCTGTTGGTGTTCTCAGTACAATGGATTGACCACCCCCAGAGTCCAGAACGTCATTGGGATTACTTGGATCATGAGAAATAGAAAATCCAACCAAATTCTAAGACTGAACTTTTAAAAGGAGAAAACATATCCCTGCAGATTTTTATTGGGTTTTCTGCTTTTTCTTGTTGCTGAAAAAAATAACCTGTCTGTTTTTTTCTGAATATGACATAAATGAGGGGTGGTCATTTGACAACAATGATATGCATGCACATACACTTATCATTGTTGTCATCATCCAGTGTCTGTGAACAGCATTTCAGCAGCAGCTAGTTTGTTATAGTTATATTGTATAAGTAGTGTTATAATGTTGTCATAATGCTTCATAATCCTAGCCTTCCCTGCCTTTTGTTTTTAGTCTGTTTTACTTATGAGCAACCTTTTAGGCCCATTTCTGCCCTGAATGAGTATATAAGAGGCCATTAGTGGCTTGGGGATGAAGCAAACAGAAGTGGTATTTTTAGAGGCAGGCATGTGCAGAGCAGAGCAGTGGCCAGGTCGCCCTGTCTGTGGACAGCAGCTGCACTCAGTCCCACCACTCTAAAACTGCACAGCCCAATCCAACAGATGGTGGGCACTGTGAAAATAAAATCCCCTTTTTTTCAACAAATGGAGAACATGAGGATTTATGCCTCCAGTCTTTTGTGCCTTTTTGGTCTCAATTTTATAGGGCAGTCTGACTTAATCTTCCAAATAAAAAAGTCAACAGGCAGCCAGTAGTCACTGTTATGGTCCCAGAAAGGTTGTGTGTGGTCAGATTTCTGCAGCTGTAGTGATCTTCTTTTATGGCATTTAAAGGTGAAAACCTAGTTGTGAAATTTAGGTTAACTCTCACTTTAATCTTGTTTGTAACACTTTCCTTTATCTATTGTTTAACAGTTCTTTCAGTATGAAACTGTGTTCTGTGTAAAATCTGTACCTGCACAATAGTGACAGCACTGTGCTTAGTTATCTGTCAGAATCTTAAGACAGTGTTTATACAGACTTTAGAGCTTTAGTTGTCAGATTGAGTGGAAGCAAGACCAATCTTATCATGCTAACCAAATTTACCGTGTGTTGTGGGCCAGACACCACGTAATCCCTCATAATCTCCCAATCTGTCATGCCTCATGGCCTAACTGTATCACCTTATCAAGTGGTCTCATGTGACAGGGAAGCCCAGCGTAATTCCCCTATACCTATACCAGCCGCACAATTGGATGACAAGATTTTGATATTGTATAGTATTTCAGACGCAGTGTTTCCTTTGTAATGTCTTTCAGATTGAACCACTACAAGTCATAGTTATCATGTTGAATTTCAACAATGGCCATTTCTCAGTTGTAGTTCATTGAACCAAGAAGTGTAATTCTGTTAGGAGTGTGAATTCACAACTTTCTGTAGGCACCACACTTGTGTTTGTAAGCAGAGGATATATTTTAAACTGTAAAAAAGTAAACTTAACAAAAGTTTAGATGATCATTTTTAAGGCAAAAAGCCTTTACAAAAAGTCAGAACAACAATCCATTTTAAGCTACTTCTTGTGTAAAAATTTCTTTCCTATAATGAATTACATCATTTTGATAATGTATAATAAGCTTATTCCTGTGCCGATGTATCATCTTGAGTTCAAGTGCATTCATTTTTGGTGCTAACATTTTGTTTTTTCTTGTCATCAAACAAACAGAAGTCAGAAGTACAGTCTAAAAGCTGTCAGTGAAGTTATTTGAACATTAATATAATTGTTGCCTATCCCACAGTGTAATAAATTATGTGATTACATTGTTATTACATTTGAATAGTGCAGCAACAAAAGGAGCAACTCTCAGCTTCTAAGTGTTACTGTCGATTCTACATGTAAATATATATGGCAATATATGTAAATATGTATGGCAAAATATGGGATCAGTCCAAGAGTACTTAATGTTAATGTAGATTCCACAGTAGTTTTAATACTTTTAATATGGCACCATTGGATTTCTTACTGGATGTAATTGCTTTATATTCCTTTTATATGTAGACATTGTAAATATGAACTGAATTCATATTAGGCTATTTGTCACTTAGAAATTAACCCTAACATAATCTTTGCTTTGGCTGCCCTTGCAACACCATAAGCCACAAAAAGTCTTCATTAGCAATGAAGAGAGAGTTAATTCCCTCTAGAAGTGGTGCTACGTGTCATACATCCTAAAAACGTTTGACCTTGCACGCATTTAATCACGACAGAAGAGGAGAGCGGAGGAGGATATCTGAAGGTCGGCTACGTGAGGGATTACTGTAATAAAGCAAAGCGCAGAATTAAACCGATTGACTGAATGACTCATCATCGACTTAATCAAACGCTTTGCTTCTGTCAATATGGCCCATTTAGCTCAGGTGTATTGCAAACAGATATATGAGGAACGATATAATGCGGATGAATTTAATTACCTCAGGTCTAGTTTAAATGGAAAAGATCCATGTGATCCACTTCCAAAGATCATAGTGACAGAATTGAACCCAGCACCAAAGCTGCTTAGTGAGAATTGGTGCATGGAATCTTACACATCAGTGTGGAGAAAATGACTTCCTTAAATGCTCTTCAGCCAGTACTGCCCATAAAATGTCAATGCTTTCACATGGAGTTTAGTTATCAACAGATTATCATGTAAAGTTCCTTGCTAAATAAGATCAGCAGTTGCAGAGCTGTATAAATGACCTATCCTTGCTCCTCCCACAGATGCCTTCCTTCATAGCAACAAGTGGGCAAGCTATACACAGTGTTGGCAAAAACATCACACATCATAGAGTTTTGGTCAAAATATGTAAATTATTTATATCTGATTGCTACAGCGTTGCTCTAAAGTCGCAACATAACATTCAAGGCCTGACGTACTGACCCTGCGTTCTACTCACATTGTATTGAAACTGGCATACATGCCTAAATGCTCAATTTATTGTCTGTGTGCATGGTAAAATGCAAAATACCAGGCGTAAATTTATGCTGGTGTCTCAAAAGATGTGTTGTTGAGAGACTTTCTTTAACAATGGCAACAGCTATAACGATTACACTGAGGCACGAGCCTCAAACACATGCTAAAAGCATGTTTTTCATCAGAATGTTTAAATTCTCAGGACCTGATGGACTAAAGTCTCGAAATATGCCATGATGCAGCCGGAATACGTCAACATTGTCATTTCACTAAATATTTTCTTAGCCAGAGTAAAATACCACCATTTTGGAATGTTTTGTTGGCAGAGGCAGGATTTATTAACTAACACTGCTATCTCATTCTCAGTGAGCTTTCATTTTCTGTTTTGTCTCAAGCTTGTTGACATTCTTATTGTTTCACTGCCTCTTTTTAAAACCTGTAGCTAACTAACCTCTTGAGCAGTTAGCAGTTTGTGTAATAAGCTGCAGTCTTAGTAAATCAAACGTTGAATTTAGGCTCATTGTGCGCAGTCAGATCAAGGTACATTTAGAGCTGCACCTTCACTCATATGTACATCTGGCCATCTGTTTCCAGTTTAAAATGCAATGATAGACAGCTGGACTGTGTTGTTATATCTAACTGAAATGATGAAATGCTAACAGTGGATTATTTGCCACCATGCTAACGTAAGTTTGATTACGTAGCTAATAAATTACTCCTGGTCTGTCCCAGCATCTTTCACACGCATACAAAATACACTTTTAATTTTATTTCTCATTTGTTACTCTGATAGGCTTCTAACAGGCCTGTCATTGGTTTGTCTGAATGCTTCTGTCCAATAACAGGCTCAGTTCTTTTTCTATGTCCATTGTTGTATATTAATAGTCAAATCTTACTTTCTGCTTATTCTTTATTGTTATTGTTATTGTTTTGCTATCTAGGGTCGACCAGAGGAGGATGGGTTTTCCTTTTGAGTCCTGGTTTCTCTCAAGGTTTCTTCCTCTTAGTCTTGGGGAGTTTTTCCTTGCCTCTGTCACCTTTGGCTTGTTCATTTGGGGCTTGGCCATGGATTTTCTGTAAACCTGTTTTGCGATAATGCATGTTTTAAAAAGCGCTGTAAAAATAAACACATTTTGCGTGCTACAATT